ATGCGTGAATTTCATGGCAGCCCCCAGCCCTCAAAAACTTTCATGGCAGGCGCACCCTCCGCCTTCCCCCCCTCCCAAAACCCCACACCTGCCATGGACGTCAAATTCATGGTAGGTTTTTCATCACCCTCTCTCGTTCACCACATATTGACAAGTAATAAAATTGAATTGAATTTAAAAAAAAAAAAAAAAAAAGAGAGAGAGAGAGAGAGAAGATAGAAGAAAAACCTATTGTATTGTTAATTAGTAGACATAATTTGAGATAGAATGATTACCTTGATCGTAGAATAAATTTGAGAAGGTTTCTTCAAGTTCGAAACTGGAATTATAGTACTGTTTTTATGATGTTTTGTGCAAGGAGAAGAACTTGTTTCGGGAGAGAAAAAGACGACGTTTGAGATTTTAGAGAGAGAATTTTTTTTTTATTATGTGCAGGATCTAGTAATTTCCATGTGGGATTTAGCATATCAGTTTTTATATTTATATGTGACGGGCCCAATTTGGCATTCTATTGGACTCATGTGAATCTTTGAGATTGAATTTCATTAGTGGACCATGACCCAACTCTATCACATTTAGTAGGCTCAAAATTAGGTCAACGCCTCAAGAGTAGGTATGCCTTATAAATACATCATATTTTTCGCCATAAAAGGTACGCATTATTTACACACTCCTACACACACACACACTAAATCACATGATCAAATCACATATCTCACATCGTCTTCTTCTCTATTTCGTTTTCCTTCTCATTTTACTCTTTCTTGAACTATTTCAACAATTAACTTGAGCGTCGGAGGGTCTCCCCGGAGCTCAACCCTCATAATTTCAGGTGAACGGAGCAGGTTACCAGTGATTAAGATCGGGGAAGGTGTTCGAGAAGAGCCAATGTGGGTGGTGGTTAAATCGACCTCCATCAATATGTTTTTTACTATTTACGATTGAGGAATTACACACCGGCAAATTGATATAACTGCAATGGGCTGTAAATCTACACTTTCGTTTAATAGCTTGCAAATCATACGATAAACGTAAACAACACTAGGCTAACCTTGTGCGACATATTCGACCTAACGACTATTATCGAAGAGATTCGAACATGAATCAATTGACATAGACTCATTTGCTCTAACAGTTAGACGATTCCTTACTGGACTATACAAATCAATTTTGTTATAAACGAGAAGATGACATTGTAACAACCAAGTATATAATTGGAATTGATTTTATTTATTTTATTTTTTGGTTTTTTTACTAGGGTTTTTGGTTTTACCTTGGAAGGGTTTTATGGGAACTTGTAGCTAGGGGTGAGCAAAAAAACCGAAAAACCGAAAAACCGAACCAAAAAATCAAAAAACCGAGCCGTTTTAAACCGTACCGAATAGCAAACCGCATGTACGGTTTTTTTATTTTTGAAACACCGAATTATTCGGTTCGGTATGGTGGAAAGGTAAATAACCGAACCGAAAAACCGAACCGAACCGAAACTATAAAATGACTTCATTTTATATAATATATGTATTATTTTACCCTAATATTTATTTTCTATCTTTCAATTATTTGTCTCATTCTAAGCATTTGTTCATAAATTGAGACATTGTATTTTATTTATTTAGTAATTAAAAATTTACTTGAGTTCATGGTTTTAATAATGTGGTAGATGAAAGTAGGAAAAAAAATGAAGCATAATACATCATCTATAAATTACGTTAACTCCTATGAAATTAAAGATTTTATATTTTCATTGCATTAGTAAGTTGTGAAAGTAATTGTAATTGTATTCTTTTGTTTGTACAACTTGAATATATAGTTACCCTTGAACCGAAAAATAACCGAAACCGAACCGAAAAAAACCGAAACCGAACCGAAACCGAAAGAAACCGAACCGATAAAAAACCGACATACACGGTTTTTAATTTTACGAAAACCGATATATTCGGTTCGGTTCGGTTTTTGCCAAAAACCGAACCGACCCGACCCGTGCACACCCCTACTTGTAGCTGAATTGACTTGAAATATAGTAGTACTATTTTTACGTGTTATTTTAATATTATTTTATTATGGTCCCCAATTCCACCACTTGCTAATTTTAGACACAAATAAATAGTTACTATAACGTTTTTAATTAGATAAATTGGATTTTCCGTTAGATACGCCACGTCATCATTACACAAATTGGCTTGTTAATCATCACGTTTAATTATTTTCTGATG